GCTTTCCTTCCTTTTGAACCTCTGCTGCTGCTCTAGTTCTTGGGGCCCTTTTTCTGTTTGAGACCTTACACTCTCAGTCTCTAATAGTCTTTTCTTGAAGTCAAATATTGGCACAGCCAGTTTGTTATCCAACTTTTCATATCTTGTATCTCTCCCCAAACTCCCCCTATCCCACCTCCCATCCCGTCTTCCACATCAGTCTCTCTCCACTTCCTTTCAGGACTCACGCACAATCATCCGCGCACAGACATCACAGAACTTGGGCTTCTTGAAGAAATGATCCTTGAATTTGTGGGGCTTATCATTGACAAGCTTAGGAGGTTCTTGGGGTAGTTCCTCCTCTTCCTCTTCCTCCTCTTCTTCTTCCTCATATATGTAGTAGATAGGCCCACCCCCAGCTCCCACTGCTTCCCCATTGGCTTGGGGCTCTGAAGGAAGCTCCATCTCCTTTGTCTCCATAGGCCCCTTCCTGAACAACTGCTTCAGCCTCTGTAGCTGAGGAAGGGGAGGAGGAAGGGAAAGAAATCTGGTGTTAAAATAACTGTCATCCTCTCAAGAGTCCCAAAGTACTCTGAGTATCAAAGTTAACTTGATGCTTTCTAGTGCCTATGCCCCAGAATTAGCAAGTCCTGGAGGCTGCAGGTACTGGCTGGCATTCTAACAGTAAATGAGACACAAGTGACATCAATTCAGGCACTGTTCTTCCAGGGCTGTCATGACTTCCCAGTTCCCCACACCCAGTGGTCACAGGCCCACACTCACCCCACTTTGCCGAGTCTCTGCTGGGAAGGAGGGCTTAGGAGACTCCAGCACCTCCTTTTCAGTCATCCTGTAAGAGGTTGGACCCCACTATGAAATCTAATTTCTGCCTGCATTCTTCCCTCCCTTATTCTTGTCCCTGTCCTTGAAGGAGAAATTGGTTAAGCATAGACCCTTGCATAGGGTTGGCTTGTAAACAGAAACACTCCATGAAGGTCCAGAGAACAGTCAAGCAAACCAAAGAACTTACCAACCAAAACCCATACCCATCCTTTCACCGCAAGAGGCAACCCCAGAGTTTACAGCCTAACAGTGTTCAAGACTGTTGAGCTTGGGGGATTTTCCTACAGGTACTGTTTCTCCTGGGAGGCTGTGGGCAACAGAGATGGGACACGCCTTCTGAGATCTCCTCTCTCCAAGAGCTTTAAGTGTATGTATGTCCACCTGCCTGAGTACAGATGGGCTGGGGACATCAGTCCCTACTTGTTTTTTGAGCCCTGGGGGCCTTTTGCCTAGTTCCATCCCAGCCTGCCTCAGGCCTCAGCTATTTTAAGTTTCCAGAGTAATATGAGCCTTTTTCTTCCCTTACTACTCGGTTCCCTTGACCCCACCCCACACGCCCTCCAATCCTAGCATTAGTTCTGGATGAGAATAATGATAATTCCTCATAAACTTCTTATATACCAGGGAGAAATGAAGAACTAGGGAAGCTGGGGTGCATGGTCCTGTAAATGGAAAGAAGACAGAAAAGGCAACTTACGTTTGGGATTCCCTAATCCAGTCCACAGCCTGTGGAGGGCAGAGGGATCCCCTGGGGCTGGGTGCAGGTGATGGGGGCGGATCAGTCCTCTTCCCTGGGGGCTGAGCCCCCCCAGTACCCTCTGTACTCACACTGGCTACTCAGACGGTATTTGTAGACCTCCTAGTCTCACTCCTTGGTGTCAGAGCTGAAATGACAGGACTGGAGGAAAGCGGACAGCTGAGCAACACAGCTGACACACAGAAATTAGACCCAGGGAGGTCTGGGGCAGGGCTGGACCCTAAGCTCTCCCATCCCCCAGAGCTGCTGTTCTACACTCTTCATCTTATGGTGAACAGGCCAGTCCTGGCTAAGTTTAGGACTCAAGAGACTCTTTCTGTTCAGGCTGCATACCTACTGGAGGGTATTTTAGATGACTGAAGGTGAAGTCAAGATGAATTATTGGTAGGAGTCCTGCTCCCATTTCCCATGGTCCAAACACCTCCCCAATTTTGTCCTCCCTGGATCTACATTAGGAATTACTGATTTCAACTTCTCAGTCTTGTTTTCTTGTGACCATGGATTTTAATGCCCTCAAGCATCCCTCAAGCTTTAGGAAGAAAGGCTAGGAGACTGGAAAGTGTCCCTTTGAATCATCAGCGCTTTCCCATCAGCTAGACTGGGCTGCTTTCTTATCCATTGAGTACTTGGTATTCTCCACGGGGAAGGCACCTTGCTCTATCCTACTGTTAAGTGCTATCCAGTTAGCTCTGACTCACAGTGAGCCCTCTGTAGGGTTTCCGAGGAGTGGCTGGTAAGCTTGAACCACCGACCTTATGGTTCAAACCGACCTTACAGTCCAGTGCATTAGTCCTTATTGCTGCAGTCCTTAAGAGCTGCTAGAAAGACTAAGCCTTCCATCAGAAGAGCTCTTGGGGAATGAAGGTCTGACACCCAGCTAGGGATGGTCAACAGTGGACAGAAAGCTACAGTTGCTACCCAGGGAGTTTTGATCATATGTAAAAAATGTCTCCTTTCCCAAGAGGACTGCAAACTCTTGGAGATAGCATGGCCGTGAGTCAACACTTCCTAAATTAGCTTGTCTCCCTGGTTCCATCTCCAGTGATACCCCAATGTATGAATTAATGGGTCAATGACTTAGGTGGCATTCTTAGCTCACAGGGATGTAGCCATCACCTACTCTTTGGGCTGTGACATGACTAGCAAAAGAGATATTCCCACCTCAGAGGAGAAAATTGGCAGGTGGTAGTGTAATGCGGCATTATCCCTTGTATCTGGAAGAAACAGCAGATTAGGTTAGAGGTAGGGTGATACAGCTTCAGAGAGGCCTGCCCAGAGATAATGCCAACCAAGAAACATCCAGGGCAATGTGCCCTGCCATTGCTACCCTCTTTTTTTCTCTCTCACAGGTGGCTGGTTGCAGAGCAGTGCTAACTTCGAGAAGCCCAGATATAGATAGGAAAGGCTCCATCTTGCAGGCTGGTAACTCCTGCTCTTCTTTCCCCAGCTGCAGATGGATGGCTTAGCACACCTGGATAACACAGCATCTTAGCACTGCCAGTCCAACTGAGGCAGCTTTTATTTCAAGAAACATCCATATTTCTGCAGAACCCAATTCTCTGACTTTAGGATTAAAGGCAAATCCAAGTACTACATCTCTGAAGGGCTTCCAGAAGATTAGATGGGACAAAATGTGACGCCAACATCTTAACCCAGTTCTGGAACTTAACCATTCCCCGATTCCAGCCCAGACAAGAGGGTCTTAAATGAGTACTAGAGAATTAACAGGCTGGAAGGAACCTCAGAGGTAAATAGTTCAGCTTCCGATTTCGCTAATAAGAATACACAGTGAACTCTGATGAACTTGACCTATACCTATGGAGCAGCAACTCAAAAGAGGGAACAAATACTCACAGCAAGAAACATTCACACACACACACACACACACACACACACACACACACAGAGTGGATGGAGAAGGGCAGCTTGGACATTGGATACTCAAATGGGGAGCGGGGCTACAAAGGCAAGGAGTGACTGGTTTACAAGTTTTTCAAGAGGTAACCTGGTGCTAGGGAGCATGGCGGAAGACAGAACCTCCAGTAGGTACTATTCAATCTGTCTGGGCAGAGCTGATGAAAGGAGATACAGATGGGTAACTCGTGATACTGTAGTGAATAATGCTTATCAGGACGCATTATGAGGGTTGGAAATGCAAAGGTGGAAGTTTTGTAACAAGGAAGGGAGTGATTAATTCACCAGGATAGGAGTGGAGGCCTCCAGGACCATCAACGGAGAAGAGCCGAGAGCGGGACCCTACCCAGAGAAAGAGAGATGCCTGAGATAGATACAGAGATGACGATGTGGAGTGATGAAGCGACTGGGGACTTTGGACCCAGAGAGGGAAAGGGACTGTGGGCCGAAAACTGGGGGGAGGAGGGGGAAGTGTAGGGGGAGGGTTTCTGGGATATACCCTTTGGGTGGTTGATGATGCATGGAGGGGATTGGAACCATGGCAATGAGATGATATACGATGGAATGAATGTAAAGGTGAAGTTCTCCCATGTAAACTATCATATAATTCACAATAAAACATTAAAAAAAAAAAAGAATACACAGTGGTCCAGAGTCAAGATGGGAAACCCAGACCCAAGGCCCCATTTGAGGCCCAGACATATAGGAGAATGATGGGCAGGGAGAAGGATGGGAGGAAAGGAGTAATGTTAGGAAGAAAGAAGTGTAAATGTTTAGGGAAAGCCATCCAACCCACATCACCCTTCCTCCAACAGTTGTAGAACTGTACTCATCCAACATCTCCAATTCCCACCCACACCAGGGCAGCAACAGAAAAACAGGGACTGATGTTCAGTGACAGAAGATTTTTTATATTTAAAAACAAAACCAACCTCCCCCCAAACATCCCTCCAAACAAACAAACAAACAAAAAAAAAACCAGATTAAATAAAATTTACAGTGAATATACCCAGCAAACATCTGTATGTGCAATTAAATACTGTGTCTGTTACTGCGGCACGAACCTCAAACAAACAATATACAAGTGTTCTGGGGGGTGGGAGGAGGCCCAAGTTTTAACTCTGTGGGGTGTGGGGAGACCAGATGGAGGAAGTGAGAGGAAGGGGAAATCAATTTCGTTTTTCTTAATTCTGTCCATATAAATATATTCATAAAGACCAAAAAAGAAAAGGGAGCTTGGGATGGTAAGGAAATAGAATAGGGGAGTGTGGGACTCTCCTAATTCTACCTGGTCAAAAAAATACGATAGAAATTAATTTCATGGTGGGAGGAGAGATAAAAAATGATAGAAGAGGATGGGAAGGAAAGGGGAGAAAAGAGCCAACCAGGGCCAGGGCAGGGGAGTGAGGCGGCAAGGGACCAGTCGGTTTCCATCTTTGTCCCTCCGGCCTTAGCCTCCAGTTTAGCATCTGCCTCCCTACTTTCTGCCTCTGTCTGGACCTCCTCTACCCTGTCCCCACCCCTTCTATGCTGTTCCTTTCCCTCCTTCGCTCATTGGGAGCTGGCTCGCTCCAGGATCCTCAGGTCATAGTTCTTTTTGGCCACTCGAAGTTTGAAGCGACTCACAGAGTTGTTGAGGCGAAGGGAGGCATTCTGGGCAGCCAGGGGGCTGGGGAATACGGCCACGATGGTGTACAAGGCAGCGAGGTCTGCGTGGCGGCCGTTCTCAGCAGTCCCACTGTTGTCCCCCCCGCCCCCACCGGGCAGCCCCTGAGCATCCTTGAGCCACTGGATCTTGGCTCCGGACATGGCAAGCTGAGTGAAGAGTTTGTCAGCTTCGGTACGGGTGATGCCTTCAGGGAGATCTGTCACCTCCAGCACCCGCCCCAGGACTGAAAAGAGAGAAGAAAGAACTGTGAGACATAAGGAGTAAGGGGGGGCTACATAGTGGTCTGCCAGATAAGTATCCAGCTGACCAAATCTGCATTCAATGGCCTCAAAAGGCCAGCCTTTCCCACTCAGCCCTCTCCTCCCTCCCTTTCCCAATTCAACCCAATGCCCTACCATCTTGACTCTGATCAGGGCAACTAAGAGAAACACATGAACCTTTCATTTTCTCCTAGCACAGAAATGTATGCAAGGAGGAGAATGGGGATCAGAGAATCCCAGATATATGATCTGGGGACCTACATGAGGGGGTGTCAAAAAGTTTGTGGAAAATGGAATTAAAAGATAATGGGGGGAAAAAAAGATACTGGAATTTCCCCACAAACTTTGTAAATCCCCCCTTGGACTACAACTTGCTCACAAGGTGCTGACACTGTGAGACAAGTGTGGTTTTGCTGATGTGTTTAAACAAAGTCAATGGGCCATTCTGACACGTTCCATCATTCCCTTTCCACTCAGAGGCTGGTCCACATAAATTCTTTCTTCTTATCACCAGGAAAGTCAGTTTTTCTTTTTTTCCTTGTTTAGCAAACTGCTTCCAAGAAAGAAAATCCAGAGAGAAATCTTGTATGGAAGGTCTGCAGGAGAGTCACTCCCCCATAATCTCTGTCAATCTTCTTAACTGGATCTTTTTTTCCCTCAATGTTGTATTTTGAATTATGTGATAGTTTATATGGGAGAATATTAGCTTTACATTCATCCTATCATATAACGTTTCATTGCCATGGTTACAATCACCTCCATGCATCATCAACTAACCAAAGGGTATACCCTGCAAGCCTGCCCCCCACCCCCGCCAGTCGTCAGTACACAGACCCTCTTCCTCTCTGGGTCTAGGGTTTCCGCCACTCCATAGCTCCATGTCATCATCGCTGCCTCCATCTCAGGAGTCACTGCTTCTCTGGGTAGGGTCTTGCCCTCCGTTCTTCTCTCTAGATGATCCCACGGACCTCCACTCCTAGACTGCATAGTCAATCACTCCCCTCCTTTTGCTACAAAACATCTACCTTTACATTTCCAATCCTCACAGTCAGTTCTGATAACCATTATTCACCACTGTACCACAAGGGACAGATCACCATCTCCTTTCATTAGCCCCGCCCAGACAGATTGGATACTACTCAGTGGACATTCTATCTTCCTCCGCGCCCTCTGGATCTAGGCTTCCTCTTGAAAGCTTGTAAGCCAGTAACTTTTTGCCTTTGTAGCCCCCCCACTTTGGGTAGCCAATGTCCAAGTTGCTCATCCCTGTCTACTCTGTGTATCGAGGGGGTGGAAATGATCCTTACTGTAAAGATTTGTTCCCGCTTTTGAGCTACTGCATCCATAAGTGTAGGTCAAGTTCATCAAATTGTACCAGATTCTTCTTTTTTTTTCCTTTTCTTTCTTCTTCTAGTTGAGCTCTGATCATTCAGTCATTGAAGCCAGGTCAAGTGGGTATTATCTCCAAGTGTGGGTGTTCTTGTGCATATGCCCTCTCTTCTATCAGCTGGACGCTACACTCTCCACTCTAGTCCTCTATGGCTATGTCACTGACTCTGGGCCCAATAGTCCCCAGGTCTTGCAACACTGCTGGCCAACCAGGTCTCCACCCAATAGACTCCACAAGAGTCTACTGAACGTTGTAGGGTTTAGCTCACAACCTCATTGCAGTTTTTCCCTCACTTTCCTTATCAGTGATGAATGTGGGCACCATTCAGAGTGCATATCTGCTCGTGTATTCCCATTGAGTCTTAGTCTTGGAAGGGGGTTTGCCCTAAGGGGACCTGAGTACTTGCCTTGGTGTCTCCTGGGCGAGCAACTTGCTTATTCTTGTAGTAATCAGTCAGACTGCCATTATTGTTTTGTATTTTTCCTGTCATTAACTGGATCTTATGCCAACACAATAGAGGTCTTAACTGGATCTTGTGCCAACAAAAGATTAGGGTCAGGACTGCCTCCGGAAGACTCCTGACTAATAACAGGCTCAGTGGCACCCTTAGTGCCCTTTTCACCACTGTCTTTTCCAGTACATGGGAAAGCTTGATACTTGTACTTCTCCCTCTTTTTCTTGCTCTTGAGCATGAAAGGTTCCCATCCTCCACTCCCCAGCCTAAGCTGGCTTTTCTACCTGCCCAAGATGGTAATACAGAGCTGGGGGTATAGGGGGATAGGCATCTTTCTCAGGAGATCACCAGCCATCACTCACCAACATCTGCAGTCCCCAAGTCAGTAGAGGCAGATTTGAGTGCTTGTCTCTTACCCCGGTTTCCATGCTTCAATCCACTCTGTCCCTTTAACATTCAAAAGATAACTCTCATTGCAGGTAAGCAATATTGGGGGCATTCCATCCCAACATCTGCATGAGAGACTGAAGAGTAGCACCCAGCCCTGATGACCCCTAACCTCCCAGGCAGCCAGACTGGTCAGGTTGTAGTCACTGAGATGCAAAAAGCCCATCCCTCTAGGCACTGGGATGGGTGGAAAGAATGAGGACAGGACTGGGGTATGGCACTTTGTCCAGTCTCTCTCTGTGTTGTGTCTCTTGTCCATCAAGCTGGCTGAAGCAGGTGGCTCAGAGATACAGTCCAAATAAGAAGGTGGGTCTGATGACCCTAAGGCTGAGTGGGAGGGGATGGTGGACACCTTTACCTGATGCACTGTGTAAGTCGACTGGCCATGAAGCAAGGGAGGGCAGATGGACAGACTGTATTGTAATGGCTGGCCCAATAGGGAGTAGCGCCCATCGCCTAGGGAGGAAAAACAGATGGTTTTCAGGGAGTTTGAGTTTTATGGTATGAATTTTATGAGACTTCAGGAGGCTTTAGAAATAGACTACAACAATGCATACTATTCTAACGTCTTCTATAAGGGGAGTGCTTGTGACTGATTTAAGAGTTGTATTTCTTTCTAAACCCTTTTGTTCTTACAAATAAATGGGCCCCCTCACCCTGAAAGAGAAGCTCTGCCCATGGTAGACAAGATGTTTTGGGAAATGATCAGGGAAGGAATTTACAGACCTTTCTGAATGTCTTTTGTCTCTTAAATAGACTCTCCCCATCTTTAAACCCAAGGCTCAAATGTTTGACCCACATGAGAGGTAAGCAATACAGCATTAATGAACAAGATCAGAGACTTGGAGCCAGATTGCTTAGGCTCAAATCTTGGTTCTGTTACTGGTAATGTGATGTTGGACACAAGTTTTCTCTCATTAGTGTTGTTGGAAAGGTTAAATGTACATAATACATGTAGCACTTTTAACAATGCCTGGTACATACTAAGCACTGTAAGAATTAGCTATTATCATTGATAAAATTGTATTTCTAAGTACTTTTAAGTTTTTAAACCACATTCTCATCTTGTTCTTAGACTGCTGTGAAAACCAAGACAGAAAGCAGATAAGATTATTTCTATCTTATATATGATTAACCCCATTTTATAGATTATGCAATTGAGGTTTGGTTCCATTTTTAAGTAACTTGCTCAGTGTCGAAAAGCTAGTGAGTGGTAGAACTAGGACTTGAACTCAATCTCTTTAAACCCAAATCCAGTGTTCCCCTTTCTAAAACCATACTATTTCTCACATGGTCCCATTTTCCCAGCCCAGCCTCAGCACTTATGGGTTAAACCTCTTTGATCACTAGAAAATTCAGTCATCTTCTTTTCCCTGGCCCAAAGTCACCAACCCTATTTGATGGTGAATACCTTGGAGTAAGTTAACTAGGGACAGCACTGGAGAGGGATGGGTGTCCTTAGCCTGAATGTTGTTATTGTTGTGAAGTGCCATCGAGTTGGTTCCGACCCATAGTGACCCTGTATAGGGTTTCCGAGCAGTGGCTGGTTAGCTTGAACCGCCAACCTTGCAGTTCAAATGGGTTTGCAGTCTGGCTCATTAACCCACCCACAGTGCCACACCAGGACTCCTAAGCCTGAATAGGAGTTCCCTAAACAGAAAGGGAAGAAGTGGCTCCCAGAAATGGACCAGCTACAAGATTCCCTGCCTGTTACTATCCTCTTGGACTCCCCACTTAAAAGTGGGATGTGAAAAGTGAATTCCACAGCTGTCAGCCCTAATCTAAGCCCTTACCCTGTGCTGCACCCCCAGGTCGGGGGAACTGTGTGAGGACGGGCAGGGGACTGAGTCCTGTGCAGACGCTGCTGAGGCTGGTGACAGGAGAGGGTGCTGGGGACTGGGTAGGAGATGGGACAGGGCTGCTGCTTATCTGGGTGTTGGCCTGTGGAAAAGACAAGAACATATCACATAAATAACAAATAGTTTGCCCTTCTGGATATTCCTATGGCTTAGCTTAAAATTCACCTCCCTCAGGAAAGAAATCTCTCTGCCAAAGTCAGATTGTTCCTTCTAAGTGTCCTCTCAGTCCCTAGACAATCAACAGGAATTTTATTTTATTTTTTTTTAAGTTTTTATTGTGAATTTTGTGATAGTTTACATGGGAGAACATTAGCTTTACATCCATCCTCCTATTGTATATCATTTAATTGCTATGGTCACAATCCCCTCCATGCATCATCAAACAATCAAAGGGTATACCTTGCAAGCCTGCCCTCTACACTGCACACTCCCTCCTCCCCGGTCATCAGCACACAGTCCCTCTCCCTCTCTGGGTCTAGAGTCCCCAGCTGTTCTATCTCTGCCATCACTGCTTCTCTGGGTAGGGTCCTGCTCTCCGCTCTTCTCCCTTGATGGTCCCAGGGACCTCCACTCCTAGACTGCAAAGTTAATCACTCCCCTCCTTTTGCTACAAAACATCTACTTTTACATTTCCAACCCTCACAGTCAGTCCTGATAACAATTATTCACTATTGTACCACAAGAGTCCTATCCCCATCTCCTTTCATCAGCCCCACCCAGACAGATTGGACACTACTCAGTGGAGATTCTACCTTCCTCTGCGCCCTCTGGATCTAGGCTCCCTCTTGAAAGCTTGTAAGCCAGTCACTTCTTGCCTTTGTAGTCCCCCATTTTGGGTAGCCAATGTCCAAGTTGCCCATCCCTGTCTATCCTGTGTACCGAGGGGGTGGGAACGATCCTCGCTGTAAAGATTTGTTCCCTCTTTTGAGCTACTGCACCCATAGGTGTAGGTCAAGTTCATCAAATTGTATCAGATTACTTTTTTTCCTCTTCTTTCTTCTAGTTGAGTTCTGATCATCCAGCCATTGAAGCCTGGTCAAGTGGGTATTGTCTGCAAATGTGGGTGTTCTTGTGCATATGCCCTCTCTTCTCATCAGCTGGATGCTTCACTCTCCACTCTAGTCCTCTGTGGCTATGTCACTGACTATGGGCCCAGGAGTCTCCAGATTTTGTCATACTGCTGGCCAACCTGATCTCCACTCAGATTCACAGGAGTCTATTGAACGTGGTAGGTAGGTTTTAGTCACAGCTGCATTGCTCTTTTTCCCTCACTTCTTCTTATCAGTGACCAATGTTGTCACCAGTCAAACTGCGTGCCTGCTCGTGTATTCCCCGAGTCTGAATCTTAGTCTTAGACGGGGGTTTGCCCTGAGGGGACCTGACCACTTGCCTTGATGGCTCCTGGGTGAGCAACTGGCTTGTTCTTGTAGTAGTCTGTCGGACTGCTATTACTGTTTTTTATTTTTCCTGTAGGTCTTTCTTTCAGTAAGTATCTTCTGTTCTTCTAGCCACTCCAGGCTGGTCTGCTTGTCCTTTCTAGTGGCGATTTCCCACCTATGAAGATTCTGGATGAGGTTCAGGATTCCACCTATGGTCTTATGCAATGCAAAGGCTCTGCAGGAAGCCTCCTTCACTGGGCAAGTTGTAGCACCATTTTAAGTATTGCGATCAGTTATACGCAGAAAATGGACTTACAAGCTTTCTATGGTGATATTTCTGGCTATTCCTTTCTCTCCCCCTCCAGTGGATATTTTACAGTGGTATGCAAGGGAAACCAAGAATCAAAAGACAGCCAAGCATCTTAACATTATTTCCACCCTTTTACCTATTCAACTATGCTTTAATCTCTGTATCCCAGAGCCCTGTTGTTCCAAGGTTGTGCATACATCATTTACTTCTGTCCCACGTAGCCCATGCAAACCTGCCTAACTGTTCTCCCATCCTTGTTCTTCCATTCCCCTCCCCCTTTTCTTGTGTATTGCCCGCCTTCCCAGCACCCAAACTATCCTGTGTCTAATCCCTACCCTGTGCTCCACCTTCCCCTCCCTCCCCTCCCCTCACCCCCACATCCCAGTAACCAGCAAAGAATTCCCCCGCCTTTTTAGTAGGGGTTCCTTTTCTTAGTTTTTACAATAGTGTTCTTATGATAACTGTTATTATTCTAACATCTACTTTTTCACAGTGTACGTATTCCCCAAGCAATTACAAGTGTGTGTCCTGTCTCAATCTAAGGTCTCAGATTCCCTGAAAGAAGTCGGGTATACTCGCTCCTGTGCATCTCCCCCAAAAGTGCCTAGGGATGGAGGGGATTGCAATCACTGAGATAAACCAAAGTGTATAATGTACTGAATGTAAAACTGATTACAAGCTCTGTAAACCTTCACTTAATTCACAATAAAAAGTTAAAAAACAACAACAAAAAAGGTGTTCAGATAAAGACATATAAAGTGGCCACAGTCAATAGCAAACATTGGTCCCTGGGAAGAATCTAGATACGTGTTTGCAAAGATGAGGCTAGGACTCACCTGGGGGTTACTTTCAGGATTGTACAGGTCTCCAGGCTTCTGTCCCCGTTGGTCCACACTGTAATATTTACAGTGACTCCACTGGACCATGGATGGGTTCTGGGGGGCTTGGGGTCCATTAGGGACATTAAGCTGCATGACCACCACGCCTGGTCCAGAAGGTGACACTCCTAAGTGGCAGGAAAAAAACAGTTGGTTGTGAATTCAAACTGTATTTTGTTCTTCCAGCCAGTCCTGACTGGAAAAGCCAATAAGCAAATCCACCCACTAGCCTCAGGGTTACTCAAATTATATCCTGCCAGGAATCTAATGTAGTTGCTGACTCAGCTCCTGACTCCCTCTCACAAATGAGTGAGACTGGGATGGGAGGGAAAAGAGTTCCAGGATGCCAATGTGCTCCTGGTCTTCGCCTAGTGAAGGGTATACTTTGGTATGCTTGATACAACACTGTTCTGTCTGAGTTGGGTATTACCAAATGTCCAGGTCAGATTGTTGAAATGCCTGAGCCTGGCACAGGTCCCAGTATGGGCTTGTGCCCAAGCTGTGGGCACGTGCAGACTTTTCTGGTAATGGCTGCAGTTAAGTCAATGAACTCTGGGGGTCCTGGAGAAGATGTAGCTGCACTGAGCCACATTATTTCTTGGGCAAGGGTGGAGTGAATTGGGGTATGTTCCAAGCAGAAAAAATGGCACGGAAATGTATGTCATATTCAAGAAATGACAAATAAGTCAAGGTGCTAAGACACAGGGGCTATGTAGGAGAAGTAGCAGGAAATAAAGACGCATACATTTGTTTATTTGACAAGCATTTCTTGAACATTTATTATGTGCTGGTTATTATACTCCAAGAAATGACTTGGGTTGTGTTTTATTGGACTTCAACCTCTACAAGTTAATTAATAACAATACCAACAAGAACAACAACAACAACAACAATACCTAAACCAGCTGCTCCTTGGAAACCCTATACAGGGTTGCTATGGGTCGGAATCAACTCCATGGCACTTACTGAGGCATAAAAGGATTATGTAAATAACATGACTAAAGCTATATACCTGAGTCCTGGTTTCACGCTGTGGGTTAATGTGCTGGACTGCAAAGTTGGTTTGAACTGCAAGGTCAGTGGTTCAAGCTCACCAGCTGCTCCTTGGAAACCCTATGCAGGGTTGCTATGGGTCAGGACTGACTTGATGGCACTTAACAACAACAAAAAAGCTCTATAGCTAGTATGTGGCAACATCAGAAAACGGTATGTAACGTCTTTCCCAAACACCCTAATTAACCTAATTAACAAATTAAGGGACTAGAAATAGAAAACAAAGACCATTAGTTTGTTGAGGATGGGCACAAAGATATTTTACACAATTTGAGAAATTTAGTTTATCCACCTGCCTATTCTAAAGGGGGTGCTGTATGATAAGCACTGGATTGCAAACCATAAAGTCAGCGGTTCAAGTCTACCCGACACTCCACGGGAAAAAGATGAGGTTTTCTGCTCCAGCAAAGATTTCCAGCCTCAGAAACCCTATATAGGATCACTATGAGTCAGCACTGACTTGATGACACTTAACAACAGTTACTCTGCTGGGCACTGGGTGTACAACAAACTTGGTCTGAGTCCTCAGGGAATGGATAGTCTATTAGGGAGACAGACATTAAACAAATAGTGGTATCACAGTTTGAAGTATGCTCTGCTAAGGAGTTTGGACTTCATTCCTGTAGGTGTCAGGAATAGGACCTGTGCTTTGGAGCACTACTCAAGTGGCCAAATGTAGAATGGTTGAAGGAAGGGAGAGACTAGCTGCAGGAAGACTGGTTAAGGAAGCTACTAAACCAGAATTAAGTCTAGGAAGTTCTGAATTAGGGCGGTGACAATGGGAATGGAGTCAAGGGGTTGGACCCTCCACTGGGAAAGTTACACTGGCAGGTTCAAGTGACTGGATACATTTCTAAGATAGGCAACCCTGGATGCTATATCCTCTCACTGGTGGAGGAAAGATAAGGACCACTGAGGAAGAACATTAAAACTGGAATCCTTTTCAGGGTGGAAAACAAGAGAAGAGGGCAGGGAGAGGCAGTTTGACGGACAGTCCCTGCTAGGAGGGATGCGGAGGAGCTCTGCTTCCCTCCAGAGTGCGGGTTTGCTCTTGACTTCCCAGGCAATCTTCACACTGAGGGATAGGCTGGGTTCATGTGTGTGCAATGGTAGAAGAATGGAGACGGGGGTTATTTGCTCAAAACCCCATGGCAAGGCTGCTGTTTTCATGGTGTGGTGCTCTGGGGCTGCTGCTGCAGCCACCATCACATAGCTTCCTGTGATGGGAAATGTTACAGTCTCTGCCCTGGGCACCAGTCATGCTGGGAAGTGAACATGATTGCTTTTCTCAGGTAGCATCGGTCATGGAAAGGACAAGAAATGGTGGAAAGTGTGAGAGAGCAGCTCAGGAGATACAGCATTGATCACATCCCATTCATCAGTCAATTTGTGACCCTCACCCTCTAGGTTCATCTAATCAGAGAACACAAACACTCAGAGAGACAGGTTCGTATCTCCCCAGCTTTTGCCAAGAGGGACAAGGTATTCATCAGCACGACTTGTAGGAGAGCCATGGGGAAATTGCAGTTGTATAGCGTCAGGCACTTAAGGACTGCCCCCTTACTACAGTTGTTTTGGGCATTCTATTTCCCCATCCTAAAAGCTCAACTGGCTCTAACATCCTCTACCAACAAAACTACAATTGACCTTATTCAGACACCTCACTGCTACCAGAGGGGCCAAGGCAAAACAATAAAATCTACAGCTTTTCTGGAAGGCAGCTCAGAGCCTAATGCTCTGGCCAAGAAAGGCGGGGGATGGGGAGTTGGTATATAAGTGTATGTGTATGTAAGTATAAGCAAGGCTGTGGTAGTTCTTTCTAATTCCAATATGTAGCTGTAAGAGGTTACTGGGGGTGGGGGGGTGGGGGGGTAGAGGGGACTCAAAGAGGGGAGAGAAGGAAGTCCTCATTATTTTCTCTGATCCTAACAACAACAAAGCCAGTTCTCAGTAGCAGCCTCTGTCCTGCACACCGCTGGCCTGGAGCATTGTTCCCTCACTCAGCCGAGGACACAGACAGAGCACTACTCGGCTGATGAGCTGATTTTTATGCTTCTCTTCCTTCAGCCAAAAGCAGGTGGCATCCGTTAGCAGCTGAACTGTTGTTACTTCTTAATGGATGTGGCAATAAGAAAAACCCCAAAAAAACCAAACAACCCACTATCAGTGATAGCATTTACATATAATCAGGTTGGGGGAAAGAATATGAGTTGGGGGTTCAAGGTGAGAAGAGGGGAAAAGGGGTTGAAGAAGGAAATCAATTTTAGCTTGAAAGCTCTGAAAGGAGAGAGGATATGTGAATGGCTTTTTAAGTGGCATCATTAAACCTGGGCAGAAAGGTCGATTGGGCAAGAGCAAACCACATAAATACAAACAGATGACATTTATGGCTGGCGGAATTGTTTTTCGTTTTTCCTTTTTTTTTTTTTTCAATCACATAGGTAGAAGACTGATAGGCTTCTCCCTTGCCACCAGGGATCAAATCTATAGAGGGAATATCCAGAGAAGTAAAATCCATAAGCATTTTGCCAAAATTACAAGACTGTTGCTGTTACTGTTATTAAGTTCTGACTCACAGCCACCCTGTATAGGGTTTCCAAGGAGTGCTGGTGGGTTTGAACTGCCGACCTTGTGATTATCAGTCAATGCTTCTCCTACAGTACCACACTAGGACAGAACCCACTTTTTCCTTATTTCTGATGGTGGAGAAGGGTATCTTCAGGGGATGGGAGAAAAGGAGTATTAGCTTTAGAAACTCCTCAGCTACAAAATGAGTGAGAGAGTATGTGAGAGGTTATCTCTGTCTATGCCCTGGTCTCTGTGCTGCTGTGTCAGTCTGGATTGGGAGTCTGTGTCTAGGTATCACTGCTGTGTCCATCTTCTCCAAACAGGCAGCACTATAGGAACCTCAAGGGACCTGCCAGCCATCATTTCAGTGGAAACAAGTGTTTCCTGGAGTTATAGTGATATCTGATATCATAGTGGAGGTATTAATGTTCATGCCTGGGGTGAACTGGGTAACTACAAAAACCTATTAAGAGAAGCCAGAACAGTTGTTCCAGGGACAGCCAATCCTAATCCCTGCCTTTATTTTTGGAAAAGTGACCATGATGCTCCATGGGAGTAAGGCGGGTAACTGTCCTCTGAAGGTGACAGAGGAGTTCTTGTGGGCTCTGCCTGCCTTCTACCTTCCCACTGAAGGGTACACTGAAAGGAAGGTAGAAGCAGCACTTGTTCCTCTTCTTGCACTTCCTCTTCGATTCCCAGAAGCTAGGAGTCAAGACTTCTAAAATCAATGGGCTGATGAATACGGACTCTTAGGCCATATGTGTAGGCAAGTACAAGGGGTCAGTCAGAAGACGAGGATCAATCAGGGGAGCAAAGTGATAAAACTGAGAAAAATTCAGAGAAACAAGAAAATAAGAGGGGTTTTCTCATTTGTCTTTATCAGGAAGAGCCTTGATTATTTCCTTCTTTCCGGCCCATTCTAGATCTCTTGAGCTGCTAACTTCCAGAATAACTTTTTCACAGTTTACTTAACCCAGTACTAAGTCCAGAATAATAATGAACATTTGTTTTTCCCATCTTGTTTGTTGCTGATTCAAAGACCTTGTTTTTGAAGATGAACAGTTATGACCACAGAGAACACCATCAGATGCACTGACCCAGCACTGAGAATACACACAAAAATGCACATAATACAAGTATACTCTTATGCATTGGCACAAATCATTTGAACAAGTAAGAGAGAAAATGCCCTGAGGTACCAAGCACCACCACAGGCTACACTGGTGCTGGGAGCTGCTTTCTACAATTTCCATACCAAACTGGGAATTTCAAGGCCAAATGCCCCTGGCGGACACAAGGGGAGAGCACTAAAGAGACCAATAGCTTAACAGAAGGTAAGGGCTGTTGAATTTAAAACTCTTAGACTGGGAGAGGGCCACGGTTAGCCTGGATGAAGACAGAAGTCATTGCTCCTTGCAGGTAAGAACTGATCATGAGCAACATTAATTTTGGAGTTCCCTTCACAGAAACTAACACCAAAGTGCAAAATACCGTAAGTAAAAAATATTTCATTTCTAAATTATGGAAAGCTGGCAAAAAACTCCCTCTCACCAGAAGAGGGCACTCTGACATCCTCACACTAAGAGCAGCTTGGGATGGCTGGTGGCTAAATTAAGTCTTCCTCCCCTCCAGAAGCCCTGGTGCTTCTTCAGTTGCAGTGTACGGACTACTATGTCAGGGTGGGGTGAATGGGACACAAACCAGGGCAACTGTACTTGGTGTATTGGGGAATTCTTGGCAAAGGCAGACAGTGGGAGGCTGCATGGTATAAGCCTACTCACCTGGTGGCAGGCCCCTCCAAAGAGAGCCTTTAGCTGTTTACCATGATATCCACTTAGTCCCCACCGAAGGGGAAAGAACAGAATACACAAGCCTGGTGAAAATGTGTTCTTGGGGATGTAGCACGGAATATAGAAAGTAAAATACCCAGGTTAAAGTTCTGTGACTGTGGCCTCAGAAAAATCATCTAATCTCTCTTCCTTGAATTTCCTCCTCATAAAGTTGTGCTGAAGATTACAATGTATGTGTGCACACACTAAAAACTGCTAAACAAACCTGAGCTATAACTTAAAATATCATTTTACCAGCTTCCTTTACCTTCCCAAGGGAAAGGAAAAGCTGTCTAGAATGAGTGCAGGAGATAGAGGTAAACACGTTATTTCCAGAGGTATGAGGTAGTAATGCTGGATTCAGTGAAACATGGAAATGTGGAAACCAAGTAGAGATGTAGCTTCCCTGGGATGGGCCAATAAGCCTCACGGTTCTTCAGAGGTCAGCTTCAGTACCCTTGGAAAACACCAGTGAAAACTTCGCTCTTTCTTAGTGATGGGGTCAGAGAGACGCCAGTCAATCCCTGAACTTTCTGTCCTCCCAACTCCAGAGCCCAAACCCTTCAGCAGCCATCTTGGTTTTGCCAGTGACCAAGACCCCGCCCCTCCCCAATTCTTTATCCTCTTTCTTACCTGAGTACTGCTGTGGCATCTGCGGTGGGCTGCAGGGAGAGGGAGACTGAGGCATCTGGTACTGCTCAGAGCCAGGAGGCTGCAGAAACCCCACAGAAGGGCTGGGGACACAGAGAAGAGAGGAATGGTGAAGTGGGAGTGGCGGGAACACAGCTCCTGGCAAACAGCTGCTGCTTCCTAGACCTCCCCCATGGGAAGCAGAGCCAGCTCAAGTCATTCCCAGACCAATTGGCCATGCAATTTCTAAAATCACTCATCAGTTCAGAGTTAATTATATATATTTGTACTTGATCATCTTTCAATTAGGAAGCTGCTAATCAGTGCTACAGATGGAATGTTAGTGACACACACTCTTCCCAACAGTGTGAAAACACCAGACATGTACACGTGCATACATGCATATACACGCACACACAACGATTCTGAGAAACACAACAGAGACACAGACAAACAGGGTGTCAGAGACAGATATACAGTGCTAGAGAGAGAGGGATGAGTACAAAAGAACTAAGATTTATGATTTCAGATATACATACAACGGCTGACAGGTAGTCAACGAAAGACAAATAGGGGGAAAAACACACAATACCCTAGGCAACATGGAGACATTCATATACAAAGTCAGAGACAGACATACCTACACTGAGAGACAGATACACAGCAATAATTAGACCCAAAAAAGTTCTAGTGTCAGCTCTGCTAGTAACTATCTAAGAAAAATTTCTTAACATCCTTAGCTGGAATTCTTCATTTATAAAACACTACAAAGAAATAACACAAGGGGGGAGTTGCCTAGATTATTTCTAATGTGTCTTCTACCTCCAAAATTTCATTAGCTATGACCTGTACTCAGACATGGAGTCCTGGTATGGCACTGCAGGTTAATGCGCTGGACTGTAAGGTCAGTTTGAACCCACAAGGTTTGCGGTTCAAGCTCACCAGCCACACCTCAGAAACCCTATACAGGGTTGGTAGGAGTTGGAATTGACTCAAAGGCACTTAACAACAACAATAATATACTCAGACATAAACAGACACACCATCAGAGATTTGTTCATAGATAGAAAAATGGTTGCTGTTGTTCGTCGTGTTGTTGTTACGGCCGGACTAATAGTGACCCTGAACAGGGTTTTCGAAGAGCGGCTGGTGGATTTGAATTGCCAAACTTGTGGTCCAGTGCTTACCAGACAGCACCACATCAGGGCTCCATGAACAATGGTACATTGAAAAATATACATATAGATGCTTCAAAATTGCTTCTCATAATGATGAGCAGGCTCTATCTCATAGTTCTGAGTTCCATTTGTTTGAAAACCGGGGAAATTGTAAAGCCTCTGCTTCTGAAGATGAGATTTTTTCCTGCTGATGAGTTCTAATTCAAACATAAATCAAAAAAGAGGAAAGGAGAATGAACTCATTTGGGACCCTATTAGGATCTGTACTCATGCCTTTCTTAGGCTAGCAGAGACAAAACCATGGTGCAAGAGTTGCTGAAGGTCTATGAGAGGCGAGTCCCCAGGTCTCTAGGAGTCCTCACCTCGTACCATTCTGCTGAGCAGGTGGGATCATGCTGTAGTACACTGGCACACCCCCTGTTGGTAGGCCCCCTTGCACAGATTGGCTCACAGGGACCAGCATGGGTTGCTGGAAAGGCGGCTGGACCACATTTTGCGAGTCATTGCCCACTGGGACCTGGGCAGAGATGAGAAGAGAATGACTACTTGTACTCACTGTAGTTCACCATGAGAACAGCCTAGTCATCACTAAACTAGGCCACTACAACATTCTTCCCTACCTCTTAGGAACCCCTCCTGATTTCCCCACCTGCTTGCAGGAAATGCTTCCAGAGCCACTGCCATTTCCCAACTTCTCCAGACACAACCCTTGGCCATCTGGCATAAAGGAAGGAGCCTTTAGACTTTACTTTCCTGGGCATATAAGCATTTCTATGGCTACATGAAGCCTCAATGACACCTAACAACAACAAATGGCTATATAAAGACCAGACAATTTAATTAAAGATTCTTCTCAGACTTTGAATTCTCTCTCAAAGGAAAAAAAAGTCCAAAGAATTCTAAGGCGAAAGTGGACAATATTTTAGTATAGTAATTGTCTGTCTAGGAGACTCTAGAAGATTGTTTCCCCTTTCTATTCTCAGGGACTGGGTAGTCTTCCCCTACTCAAAATGTACCCACTTGATAAGAAGGCAGTGGAGTGTACTGAACCACCAGGCCTTGCATTTGGCCCCCAATGCTGCTCCTCTGGTTGCTGAGCAGGCCCTGGTTCTGTGGCTGCTGGACCCCAATTATGCCTTGGTAAGCCGTCTGCTGCTGGTTAGGCATCATGGGCTGCAAACCTAGGGGGATGGGTAAGGCAGAAAAGGCATTAGTATGGTCTCAACATGTTTAGGCCACACTCTACCAGTAATTTTCACATTCGTTCTATTCTACCTTTTCTTTTTCTAGAAATTCTGGGCCCCTAGTTTGGCCTTAATCATTTCTATTTGTTTGTTTTTTCTTTTAGAGTGGGGAAGGTAATCTGTTTCCCAGTTTTCACACTTCCCTCTTCACTGCCTTCTTATACCAGAAGTTCCTCTTACCAGACTGCTGGGATGGCTGGGGCAGCTGTTGACCACGCTGGGGGCTGTAGGCCACCGAGTGAGAGAGAGGTCGATATTGCTGGTTAGAGTTAGGATACTGTCCAGGGGGATAGTAAGAGACCTGGATCTGTGGTGAAAGAAAAGAGATGTGTAAGCTACCTCTCAAGTTTAGTTCCAACATCCCCAAACTATTAAATGCGTTGGAGTTGATGGCTAGAAATTGACAAACAGAGATAATCTCTGGACCTGCTATTACAGGCTTAATGTACAAGTTTGAAAGAGAAGAGAAAGGACATGTGTTACATAAAAAGAAGACCTGGAGAAGGATAACTCTCCAACACTAGGTAGGGATAGGTCCCCTCTGGCCTGTCTAAACTAGAGGAAGAAAGAAGGATTAATACTGGATAAACTTAAGTGATGGCTTAAACTGGGGACCTGAGCTGCTCACCGGTTGAGGGGGCTGCATGTAGCCCTGGGGTGGCAGAACTTGCTGAGTAGGCGGTGCATGGCTAGAGGTGGAATAGTTGGAAGTGGCGAGGGGCTGTCCTGTGGAAGCCATGATGAAGCTAGTCTGCTGAGGGTGCTGGGAGAGAAGTGGAGGCTGGAACAGAGCTGAAGATGGGTCAGCTGCTTCAGTAGAACCTTGCCGGCTAAGGCTCATTTGTCCAAAGGGGTTGCTGAGGTCATCTGCCTGTTGACAGAATTGGGGGACTTAAGGACTAAGGCCATATCAAGCCTCATATCTTTGGCTTCAACACAGACAACAATAACAACCTTCTCTAAAGCCTTCTCTATACTAATTTGGGATAGTCCTGCTTCTGTGCTCCTGAGGGGTGTACCTTTTAGCCTAAACCTCCATCATGTGGTACTTTAAACTGCTGTGAACTGAAGAGTTGTGTGAGGCCCCACTCCAGGGCCAGTCTCTCTACCACAGAAGAGGTAACAATGACCACCCTAATTAGGGTATTTATGAGGATTACTCCTGGGGAGACAGGAATAATGACACAAGTTCTCCATGTAGAAAAAAACAAACAAGATTAGCTATTGGGTTAAAGACAAGAGTCTTTCTATTTCCTGTCTTTCTCATGCCCCAAATCATACAAAGGGTCCTGACATTGCTTTTATAATAAAGGACTCAAGTAACACTTTGAGTTGATTAGGGTAGGTAGGCGCAGGTGGCTCCCCAGCTCTACCTATGACAGGGAAAGCCTGCTGGGCTCCCATTCCTGCTGCTTATTCCCTTACTTCCTCTCCAGATCATTGCCACCTCTGTTCTCTGACACTAGGCTAGAGTTCTCCTACCCTTCAGAAACAACTTCCAATTCTCGCCTCCGAGAGGAGGCCACAGTGAGTGGCTGAGTTGGAGGGCAAGACTGACTGACCAGTAATTATCTTCTCTCTCAGCCTTCTTCCCTAAGCAGTAAGGGTGATGGTGTTCCATCTCTCACTTGTGTAGTGATAGCTTAGGGTTTGTTAGCTTTCTCCTCTCTTCTGCTTTCTGGACACTAATTGACACATGCACACAAACACACACCATACCACACCAGAAGAGATCTTCTACAAAAGAAACTAGAAGAAACTAAAACACAATTCTTTCCTGTAGTTTCACTCAATTTTCACTCTGATCTTCATGTCAGCTATTTTGCTACCTTACAGTACAGGAATAGATGACAAATGGACTGAATTGCAGATTATTTTGAGGTTCAAACTCCAGGACATTTCAGAAGAGAGATAAGAGGTGAGAAAGGAAAGAGGGGATTCTAATGAAAAACTTAGAGAGATGTGATTAACATAAAATACAAAATCAGGTCTCCTATAACCACGATGCAAGTAGCAACAACCAGGCAAATTAGATCCTAACAGAATTTGTAGTCATAGCATAAACCAATTTAAACAGCATGTACTATGCAGTGGAATGAAAATATTTTTACATATAATGACATGGTAAGACATGCAAACATTATAAGTTTTTACCAGTGGTACCAGGAAAATCCGCAATTGTGTTATTTTTAAAAGTAAATTATAGAGAACCATTCTGTACTAAACCAGGCTCCTCAGACATGTCCAGGGAGCAAATGAGATGAAGGATGTACCAGCTACCAATTTTGTTTCCTCTTCTGAAACTCAGGGGAACTCACTACTTTTCTCTTTTATTTTGGCATCTTTGACTGTGATGAGGCCATTAGAATGGAATATACAGTTCAGTCCATCCATGCTGGCCTCTCAAGAAACAACTTGGCTTGTTTCTAGAGAGGCCAGCAACTCTCAAGAAAAGCACAGCATGCTTGTCAAGTCATCCCAGACAAACCCAGTCATACCCACAGATACAGGCCACACATGGACAAGGACAAAAAGAGAAAGTGGAGTTTATACCATGTTGTACTGCTGGGGCGGAGAGACTGGCAGAAGGACTTGGGGACAGGAGCTTGGAGAGAACTGAACAGGCTGTGGAGAGGGCTGCAGAGCCGGGACTGGCTGTGGACCAGCAGGGAGGCATGTGGTAAAGGAAAGAAAAAAGGAAATCACAGGAAGAGGTAGGGAGGTAGAGATGGGGAGGGAGGAGGGAGGAATAACAAGGTTAATCAAAAAAGAAATTTCACATGAATAGCAAGACTGTTGAGCAGGCAGTAGTGCAAGCTGGAAACCACGCCTGAGAAGAGCTTTTGGCTTTCACATTTCTTTGACAAATAGGCAATCTCTCCTATTAGGAAAGACCTGCTGCATGCCCCGCCCCATCAGCCACTCAGAAATCCGCAGCTGTTACAAGAGCAATCTAAGGACTCACAGGACTAGGGTCTGCTCCCTGATTCCAAAGCATTTGTCCTGAACACAGGGTTCCTGTGGAGCACTATTATAGCCCTCTTAGAATGCCCGCTGGAGAAGGGAATCCTATCTGCACTGCATACTGTCTCTGTAGGAAGGGTCATCCAAGGTCTGCCTCAGCTCTCCCTGCCATACTTCTGATTTCACACCACATCTCTCCTGGAGGAAGTACTCATTCACAAGGATCATCGGCTTCCCAAGGGCAGAGAAAGAAAAAAAATACCCAGTTAATGCCTAGTCCTGCCTACTTCCTCTAGCTCTGTGAAGCAGTATGAAAAATCCCCCATAAGCACGCAGAGCAGCAAGGAATCAAGGAATAGAATATAAATAGCTTGGTTTTAGCTTCTGTTCCTCTAGTGCCTTCACTAGCCTCAAGCAGGGGATTTGTTTATTAGGAACATGGTGTGTTCTTAACCAACTAATGGGTAGTTATTTTTTTCCCCTCTCCCTTCTTCCCCTCCAGCCATTTTGATCACCTCATCAGTTTTATAGTCATAGCCCCTATGGTAGGAGGGATAGAAGAATGGTGGGGGAAGGCAGGAGAAAGGAAGAAATAACATTTATATATGTTGTCTCATTTGAGCCCACAATAAAAATCTTTTTTTTTTGCAGTTAAGAAAGTTAGGACTTACAGCCATCCAAGGCACAAGTGGCCTCTGGTAGCCTGGAGCAACAGAGAAAGGAGAGTCAGGAACAGGAGCAAAATGGAATGTGTGGATAATTGCCTCCATGAACAGGTGCTTCCTTTACCATGAGACCAGAAGAACTAATGGTAGTGCCCAGCTACCATTACTGGACATTTTGACAGAAGATGCTATAAAACAATCCTGATCAAAAACGGCAAAATGCACAACAGAATTTTAAATTCTCATGGACAACAAACTTCCTGGAGCCAAAAAAAGGTAGATGAACTCCTAAAATAATTTATTGCCCTGAGATAATCTTCAAACCAAAATTTTTTCCTTAAATCTTCTTAAAATCAAACAATTGTTTAGCTTAACTAGTGAAAAATATCTATTATATTGGATCAAATTGAGAATAGCACCTCAAAAGATTAGACAGGAATCTTAGGGGGCAGTGAGTTAATGCTACCAGGGAAGAAAAACTCACAAAAAAAGGGTAATAATTCTTACATGTTTCTCTGCTATGCATAGAGTTTTCAGTGACTAGCGATTCGGAAGTAGTTTGTCACTCTTTCTTCCTTTTGTACCAAAAGGAAATGGTTAATGTTCAACCATTTCAAGAGATACCATATGAACAAGAGCCAATGATACTCAGAGAGGAAGTCCAAAGTGCA